AGGCTAGCCCTCAGGGGTGCTCAGCGGTGCTTAGGATCCTGGGATCTGAATTCCTCCTGGAGGAAATCACCCCACACACATGGGACTCACGGTACAAAGAAACCTACACAGGACACAGGCTGTCAAAGAAGCAGACTTGAAATAGTCTCAAGGTTGTATTTAAATAGGTAACTGTTCAGATACAAAGAACACACACACACACACACACACACAAAGCAACAATGCAGCAGGTTTCTACACGCTGACATGGAAACATACCCCCCCACCCCAGCCCCCACATACTGAGAGGTGAAAGGAGCAGGTTGAAGGCTGATAAGAAGCAGATGGAAGGCTGATGCACCGTGTTTCCATTTGTATCACGCACTGGAAGAGAGAACCGCACGTACAACGACCACGCACACATCCCTGTAAGGGTGCGCCTGATGCCGCTGAGAAGGGACGCAGGAGATTCAGGAACGGCAAGGGAATTTACTGCTCAGTGTTAATGTCCTTCTGGAATATTTCCTTTTTCCTCATGTTTCCTTTCCCGGCTCTGTGTGGATGAGGAGCTGATTAATAACCCCAGGGCTCCCAGAACTAGGAGAGGGGGCGGGGTGGGGGGAGGCAATGTTCCAGGCCCCACCCTGCTGGCCACGTGGGGACTTGCAGGCGGGCCTGTCCCTGTCGGTCCCCGAGCCACGAGGTGGGTGCAGCCCTAGAAGGCAGCCCAGAGCTGCATTCAGGAGGGCCCTTCTATACTCTTCGCCTTTTTTTTTAAACCTATGCTTGTATTACTTTTAGTGACCAAAAAGAAAACCAAAAAGAGCAAAGGGAAACACACCCCAGGCCCTGAAGGCTGCTGGTTCTGAGGGTACACCTCACCTCTCCCTGTTACTAGCCCCAACCTCTGAACAAAACACATTCTACAGCGCAGCCTCCTCATCAGGAGAATGAAGAGGCTGAGACTGATGACTTCCTACGGCTCCTGCTCCTCCCCGCCGCCTTCCTGAAGGAGGTGATGCCACTGCCTGCTGAGAACAGCAAGCGGCAGGTGGTGAGCGCTCAGCACAGACTTCTACTCCAGTCTCCTCGAATCAGTGCTGGAGACCCCACAAGTAAGGCGAAACTGCCGTTGTCCCCCACGTCACACAATCCTGCAATTCGGGGATGCTCCTGCTCGAGTTTGAGTGAGTTTGGTGAGTTTGGTACTTAACAAACAGAATCCCTTCCCTGCATGTGGTCAGGAAACCTAGAACCTGGATTCGTATCTGCTGAAAACAGAAGATTCCAGAAGGGTCTAATAATTCTGAGATGACAGAAATGCACGGGGTTATTTAAAGACAGTAAGATTCAGCTTAATCTTCGGAAAGTGGCACAGGGCAGGAGGGTCGGCAGAGTGTCCTGTCTCACAGCCCTGGGTACCACCAGAGGCAGGCCATTCAGTGGGCGGGAAGACCTTTATCTGACACCTCAGATTTGTGGTGATCTTGAGCACAGTCCACGGACTTGCTAAGGCGCGGGCAGCACCGTAACTTTGGTCTGGACGCTGTTACTAAGGGCGACAGCATGACTGCAGCCCCGTGACACCCTGAATGGGAATGCTGAGTGTTCACTGGTGGCCGTTGCTCTCTCACCTGACGGCACATGGAAACTTACTGGCTGGCCTTTGACACTCTGTCCATCAAACAGGAAGGAAAACACACAATGATCAACGTAGTTACTGCTGATCAAAGCTGAGCGGGTGCACGGATGTTTGGGAAAGTTTAAATGTCGTCTTTTGGTTTGTTTTTCTTGCTGGCTACTTGTATTTTTTGGAGAAATCTGAAAACTTCTACAGCCTTTAAGTATTGTAATAAAGAGATTCAAAGTCCAATGGACACCAAAGACTACTGTGCAACTACGGGGGGCGGGAACTGAGATCACTGGACAGCAGTACAATATTTGCTAAGGAGCAGGGAAGTAAGCATTTGGAGCTCGGACTGCTTGGGTTTGAATCTCAGTTCCTTCGTTCATCAGCCAAGTGATCTTGGCTAGTTCCATAGCCTTTCTTTGCCTCCGTTTCCTCAACTGTAAAATAAAGACAATGTCCGCTGCCAGCTCATGGAGCTGTAGAGGGCATTAAATGAAGTACAATGTGTAAAGCGCTCAGAAAAGTGCCTGATA